CTTTCGGCTGTGTTTTTACCGAGAGGCTCAATGGATGACAACCCTGCTCTTTGTTGGGACAAGCTCCATCAGAAACAGCCACCAGCCCCCCTTCCCCTCTCCCAGTTAAAAGGATTTGAAAAGGCAAAGCAGGGAAACAACCCCCTTCTGAACCTCTGTGCAATGTGAAGGACCTTCTTTTGATGCTGACACACGCCAAGCTGACTGTCTTACCTGAGTCTGGACAACTACCCCTACCTCCACTCACTCATTACGGTCTTAAACCCTACACAACCGCCCAGCACACCACATTGTTGCGGCATGACTCTGGGGTTTTTTGGAAGTTAGGGCAAGTATACAATAAAAACCTCACAACCTTATGTGAATATTAATTACCATGACCATGGTTTCTTTATTGACATGCAACGGAGCTCATGGGAGGCCAGACATAGTCTTGGACAGCTGGCTCCAGGTAGCCCTGCTTGAGCAGGAGTTGGACCAGATGAATTCAGAGGTCCCTTCACACCACAACCATTCTTTCCCTTCTATTAATTTATCTCTAAAACCCCCCCTAACACCTGCTGTAGCCTGTTAGAAGTAATAATGATCTTTTGCAAATTCAGAGTGAAAAAAAAGAGTTGTGCTTGGCTAGCCTAAATGATACGAAACGTTTTATGTACCATACAGAATCAAGCTTGATGTTTAGTACCTGAGGACTCACTTAGGATACTGTTTAGAGCACCGCCAGCACGGGTCATACCTGTCCCCCAAAACTGAGAGTTTGTTTTTCTTCTGCGAGCCTAAGATCACTTTATTCAGCTACGTGAACTAATTCTTGCACTTTTTTCCTTACTACAGAGATTTACATTCAAGTCTAGGCTCTTCCGTGAATAGAGGTTTTCTTGATTACTGTCAACATTTCATTCCATTGTGTCATCTTGTTTGTCTTCTGATGTTATAATTTCCTTATTTTACAGTGTTTTAACTGCATTGGCTGCAACTGTTAAAAGAATAACCAGTGATTTTAGGGGTCAACTAGAAAGGCTTTAAAAGGATTTGATTAGGCAATTCATTTTACTAATGTTACAATAACTTCTTTTTATTTGATTATGTAAATGAGTTTTGGTGCATATCCACTTTGGCAAAATACTGCAAAGTTTAATCTTCTCTCCTAAATAGAAAGCTTTCACTTGCAGAAACACATAAGCCAAGGAATGCATCTTATCCAAACACTAAGGTGCTCTCTGTGAGCCACCCCAAAATATTCACATTCATGAAAACAAAGGCCATGTTTACCTGGCAAAATGTACCACAATGCCTTTCCTGGGGTCATGTTCAGGCCACTATCCTGAAATCAATGTAATTTAATTGTTGAGCAGCAGTGGAGATGGACTCAAGATCCACAGATTTGCCTTCTCCCATCGTTGTGTTCAGCGTTTCCCACCCAGCAGCTGCTCTAGTGGGATGGCTTCCCAAGGGCTTCTCTCTAGAACTAGGAGAAACGTTGTAAGGTCTCAGAGACCTGAAGTGAACTACAACTATGTTAGCAGTAACACGACACAACCTGTCATCAAAACATCTATCCCATTGCCCGTGACAAATTACAAGTTGACCTCCAATCTTTGAACCAGTAAGACTCCCACCCCTACTCCATTTTATGTGATGACCTTTAATGTACAGACTACTTTTAAAGTCTTCACCTTCCATTTGCTTATGTCTTAGATAGGAAATGGATCCATCTCCTCTGAGACAGAAGAGAGGTCTTCTGGTTTGACTCCATTAGGAAAGTGGATTAAGATTGAGGCAGGAGATGACCCCAGGTCTAACAGAGGTCCTTAATGGGTCCCAAAAGTGAAGAGGGTAGGAGACAGGTTTCTTAACATAGACTGAAGGCAGAAGACCGACAGTGGGCTCCTCCAGGCCAATGAGGTGCCAGTGCCACAGCTGAGGACCTTATCTGTGCAATGCTCCAAAGCTGGAAATCAGAGAGGGCTGTGAGCCAGAGAAGGAGCACAGAGGAATGATGCTGGACAAGCCTGCCTGGTAAAAGGTAAATGACAGAGGGAGAGTGGTGGGTTCTTCTCTGATAAGGAAGAATGCCTTGTTCTTGTCGGAAAAATATGGGAAGGGTAACAAGAGGGGTAGCGTTGGACAGATAGCCTCAACAGGAGCTCCAGGTCTGATGGAAGATGTCTGAGCTGGGAGGTATGTCTCCCAACACTGCACGGAAGGCTTTTTAGGATTACATATACTACACAGGACAACGGTGTTAAATGAGAAATTTTAAAGGACAATCCCTTCAGTGTGATGATAACTTGTCACAGGAAGATATTAAACTATGACATGAGCATGGAACCAAATCCTCGAGATGTGGAGGAAAGACCACAAAGGTGGGACCTTTGCAGTACCCCACCTCTTGCCACAAGGACAGAGAATGGATTTATTATGGCTTGCATTTTTCTGTATTGTTGTTCTTCTCATGCCCTCAACATTGAATTATTAAAGTGTATTAATGCATTTTTGTAACCTAGTAAGGGATGAATGAATTACAGCAAACATTTTAATTACTTAATAATGCTCTAATCAAAAGATTTAATGGCTCTATCTGGAAATACAAGTTGATTTTCCACTTTGATGGCCATTTATTTCTCTCTAGTGATTTTTAGGGGAAACGAAAGCAAGAAACTGTGACATAACTGCTCACAAAGAAACTGGGGTCACCTGTAAATCCCAGTATGCTGAATAGCTGAATATCAGACCCCTCCTGGAAAAGCTGGCTCATGAGATGTGACCAAGACACAGTTATTCCTGAATTTACTTCTCAGTGCAAACACAGATTAAAAATGGGGTTCCGAGAAGAAAACCGAATCTTCCTTCTGCAAAAGGTTTATTTAAAAAAACCTCCTCTCATTGCTCTGATTGCTCTCACTGTCATTCACTTAAATACCAAGGGCAATGCTGCCAGTGTTTGAGTGTGGGCTATTTCAGTACTGCAGTTCTCAGGAAACGAGCGAAATAAAATCTCTCACATTAAATACTAATGCTCCTACGTCTAGTAGCATTTCATACATTTATTACAGATTACCCTAATGCAGGCTTATGCCATTGCTCATATAAACACACTGTAGGAATTATCGACTTTCTTCCTCTGTAAATGTCTTACAGTTGGCCTTATTAGGCATAAATAGAAGAAAAAATTAATTAAAAAATATATGAGCAAATTGATAATTCAGCTGTAGTCACACAAAGTTATATTATTTTCAACTGTCCTTATATTACAAAGATCCAACCTGGAAATGGTTAGCCTCCATTTGAATCACTGTCCAAAATCTATGATAAGAACCTCTAAAACACCAGTGATCTTAATCTAGTGGCACTGTATGTATGCACGAAATACGAATAGCCAACTTTTACAACTTTTACTGGCTGAAATCCTATCCCATTTGAATTAATTCTCCTGCCAAAGACTTCAGTGTAGCTGGGAGTTCATTAAGTGGAGTATAAACATTATTCCCACTATGACCCATCCTCGATAGAAATGTGAAGTTAAGACTTACTCACACTACTATTAAAGCATCAGTCTGATTTTTAAATAACACTTAGGATTTCTTTTATGGAATACCTTTTACATTATTCACATAGGATGAATACAAAGAAAGAGAAGGGAAATCAGATGGAGGATTTTCAGTGCTGCTCAAGTGTACTGTAAATACTTTCGGGTTGCTATCCAAGTCCCTGTTTACCTGACTAAAACGACCTCTATAACATCCACTATTCCACAACAGCAACACAGATGTCAAAGATTGGAAGTTAATCCTGTATTAAAGAATTCCACTCCTGAACAATATTTTTCTTTTAAACTGCAGTAGTCTCCCCTAAAGGAGAAAAAAGTTGGCAAATGAATGTTGAATCTGTGAAAATTTTAGTAATATATCATTTCCCTGAGCACTAAGGAGCAGTGTCAATGCTATTGCACCGTGTCTGTACAGAGCTGATGATCTGCATGGTTAGTTCCCAGCCCACAGCAGAAATCTGATTACAGGTCTCTGGTTGTTGTGAGCTCTCAAAGAAAGCACTGCTAGATTTTCCAAGCCTTGAAAATATCCTGCAGTAAACTAAATTTCATCTGCAAGGTTAGGTCTCATTAACAACCTCACAAATCCAGACAGATATGAATCTCTAACTTGTCAAACGAACAACTGCGTCTCACAGAGCAAGGTCAAACACTGTTCCAGCTTTTAAATTAATATTGTATAGGCTGCGTCTTCCTTTGAACCTGATTTCATCTTCTACAGAAATATGCTACCTATGGCTTTTAGGAAATCTGATAATCAAACATGGAAGTTCAGTAACAGCTTGTATATATTTTAGATTACTTTCCTACAGAGATTGGAGATTTTCCTGTTACATTGACAACTACGTCTACTTTCTGAAATTATTACACATTAACAAAAGCCTTTGTGTATTATTTCAGGTGTTTCTTATGATTTATGACTCATTAATGAAAAAGTGCAGCTGAGTATTTCCGAAACAACGGAAATCTCACATCAACATTCCTGGATGCTGCAAATAATTTGCTACGTAAACCAGACTTAACGCTGACCAGGATTCAGACAAGTGTCTTACTTCACTTAGCTGTCCCTTTCATTAATGTACTTCTCTAAAACCTTGTGCCTACATAGAGTTAAGATATTTATTAAAGGATCTATGATAAATTTCTGACTTTTCATCATCGCTATTATTTTTCGTAAGCTCCTACCTGTAACATCACCGACTACTTAAAGCCAAAGAGCAAAGAAGACTAGAAAAATTTAAGCTACAAGTGGACAAGAGAACTTAAACCCCACACAAACCAAACAAAAAATTAACAGTGGGCTGCATAGAATTGCAGCAGCCATATGCTTTCAACCATACCTTGCCATAGAAGCGTTAAAATGCATTCAGAACCCAATGCATTTTTAAATCAAGCTGTTGCTGGGCACAAACACGTACACGGGCTTGCTGCAAACAAATCGACATACCTGCAGAGACGCGGGGGCAGTCTGGCAGCATGGACTCCACCGAAGTGTCCAGGGGCTCAGAGCTGGACACCCAGTTGCAGCAGTTCTGTAAGAGCAGGTAGGTGATTTTGGGGTAAGCCAAAAACTCACGAGCAAAAATAAATACAGACTTTGCAAGTACGGACAAGGATGACATCAAAATACTCAAATTAGTTTACAGAGCCATCCCAACAGGGACTGGAAGGTACTCTACACTAGCTTATTCATGCTAACTGGTGATGAAATATTGCAGTCTCATACTAAATAAGTAATTCATAGGAATTCAGGAGATTTGGAATAGCAGTCTTTAAGTTCTGCTTTGAGTGCCAGTGGACTTAAGCAGGTGCTTGGACCAACCGGCGCCTGAATTACCCACCACACATTTTAAGCTATTCCTCTCTGTAGTTGTTAAATGCATGTTGATATAAACACTGAGCCTGCTCGCTTGCCAACATGAAGAAACCACGATTTTTCAGGGTGTTTTGACGGAGTACACTGTGGAAAGAATGGTTGCGAAATCACAAAACAACAGATTATAACTGAATGAAAGCCATCAAGACTGCAGATTAATATTCAAATAATTTGAAATATAGCCGAGATGAATGGCGCATGAACATTTAAAAATGCAAATACTTGTCTTTGGGGAATCATGTTCAGGAAGCATTTAAATTTAACTTTCATTCCTGAACCTCTGAGAAGGATGAATTTACCATGAATTTTTTAAATGTTTTGCTCCAAACACTATCTATTCAAGGGAGTCTACGAACTAAAGTATTAAATAATATGCTTTTAATGAAATACGCTGAAAACTACACCAAACCTACTGAATTGAAGATTTAATTATAAAGCAACTACACTTTTAGTAGGATTGCCAGCTGAACTACAAGATCTACAGGACTTCCCCTGCTACAAATTTGAGCCTTCCCTTTCTGAAAACCTGATTAACTTCATTGAGGGGAAAAGAAAAAAAAACCAGAACCTGCACAACTTTTTGGAAAGACTCCATGAATTTTCAGACAGATTTCTAAAAAAATCATCCCATCAATCATGATTGTAAAAAATGGACGATTGCTATTCTGGTAAACAAGCATGTATTGTGTATTTGTAGATGCTTGCTGTCCTAGTTGTGCACCATGGAGTCCGTCCTCACTGTGGAAAGATCCTTGACTGGTAGATCAAGTGTCTTATTGTATTTCCTTAATTCATTCTGTCTGGAAGAAGATGTCAGCTGTGTTGCAGTGAGGAGAGAATTTCAAAGGCTTCAGTCCCCACCAATAAAGGGCGAGGAATGGCTTTTGAATAGATTTGTCAAGGCAACCCTACTGTTCTGGGACCAGGGAGAGCAGGAACAACATAAAGGAAGGGTTGCTGTATGAGATTAGAAAGTGAAGTTCACAAAGCATGGCAGATTTTTGTAAGAAACAGTAGATCAATGAAACTATTGAACTTGATGGAAAAAAAAAAAAAAAAGAAAACAAACACGCTACCCAGTAATGTAACCTTTTTAGTAAAAAATGGTTAAAATGGAAGTATTTCACAAAGGCTTTAAGGTTTAAAGTAGTAAAGCATTATACATTTTACAATTTGCATGTATAATTTTAATTAACAGCTGAATGAAACTGCAAGTGTAAGATGGTAGAAATTATAAAAGAAGTAGAATTTTTATGAAGTATTACATTCATTTGAAATAAGTAAAATTAATATTAACTACTGATAGAACACTACATCAGAGAGCTGGAGATAATACAGAAGATTAGCACACAATTAACCAGCTTTTATATACAATGTGACACTTGCCTGTACGAAATAAGTATTCTCGAAAGCAGTGTCAAGATATGTAAATGGATGATTTGTTTTATCATTCATCACAGCTCCTAATAAATTCAAAAATCATGACTTCTATAGGTACTAAAAATAGGCCACCAATGATACAGGAGAGATAGCTTCAATGAAGAATTACTTTTTTAACAATTCATTCTTTCAATGACAGCAATTAGCCCTACAGACAGGCAGCGATTAGGTGTATATTTTAATTATTATTCATTTTACCAGTAGCCTTAAACCCGATTAAAGTAAGAGATATCCAGGTGATATGCTAGTCTTAATACCACTCAGCCACACTTCACATATGTAAAATTCTTCTTTCTTATAGGAGATTTTCAATGCTAATGTAAGTTATGACACTCCATCCACTTTTTAGGCCATTAATCATTTAACTTATTCTTTAAGATCTACTTTCTGCAAATGAAATTAAAGGTAATGCACTTGTCTTATTCAGACTAAATGCTTAAAGAAAAATGGAGTTGTCAGATTCAAATTACAGGATTTAAAATTTCAGTTTTACTACATAACATATATTTTAAGGTTTTGATTTCCCATAAAGAAAATGGGGATTTTTCTGACAGAGCCTGTAGGGGTTACCATTCTTTATATTTTTAACATTTAAGTCAGAGCTGTCAGGCTGCATCCCAGGTGGTTCTCTATTCCCATCCGTCATGGCCTATAAAACTGTAAGGTTAAGTCAGGAATAGGCAGTCTACACACAAAGTTTCACTAAATCCATGGGAAGAGGTCCATGGTCTAACAAAAAGTTCAGGATGTGACTATTTTAAATTTGCCAAGTACACCTATTGTTTTAGCATTCTGCAATGGGAAGGCAGTAAACAGGGACAAAAGCCTGATCTGGAGAGGAAGAGACTCATAAATGGAAGTTTAGTTGGTCTCACTTTAAAAAATATGATTTTTAAAATCTCAGCAACCCCATACTTAAACACCGAATGATAAATGCATGGCACCATCCTTCACCCAAGGGTGGAACCTGGTGCTTGCTGGCCATCAATCAACTAGCTGTTGGTAGCTGTACAGCAGCAAATGCCCTGACTTTTCATCAGAAAACCTTGGAGCAGTTCAGAAGTAGTTACATCTCATAAAACTGCTGACAGAAAGGATTTTTTGCCAGTTGTGCAGATCATCAAACTGAGTCACAGAGAGTTTAAAAGGGCTTATCCGCCATCACCAGATCCATCCAGGAGCACTGGGTGCACCCACGACTTCGCTCCAGATATCAGGCAGCCTTGGCATATGTCTCTATATTGCTGTGCGGCAGCAAGAAACACTGGACTTGATTCTTATTATTTTGACTGCTATCCTTGAAATTCAGAAATGGCTTTAATCTCAGTTATTTTAGGGGCTCGCATAGGGACACAATTTCCATGGTCCTGTAATGTGCTGTCTTTTATATCTCAAAGAAATGGAAGAGGTCGGCAATAAAGACATGTTTATAGAGCCACACACAGAACGGATATATCCCAACTCTTTAAAAAAACCTGGCCTCACCTCTCGCATCCACTCTCGAATAGTTTTCCCAGCTTCTTGATGCCACACATTGTGAACAGAGTCTGTCAACGCCACAGCAGTTACCTTATTCTTTACTTCTGTCTCTCGTTGAATCATCTGTTAAAAAATATTGGCTTTAAGTCCTTTCTTTCTATTGAATAGAGTCTGCTTAGTCACAGATAATGATCTTAAATTAAAAAAGAAAGAGCAATACAGGTTCAATACTTGACTTCACTTGTTTTAAAGTTTATACAAATCCTAACAGCTCCAGAAACACAGAAAGACCTAATATTTTTGATAAAAGAAATAATACTAACTTTTAACTGACTGAACTATTCAGTCCTATTATTTTCCATGTGGCTTGACAATTCTAGGATTAAAGGTATCATAGTGAAAAAATGGAAGATTCCCTGAGGACACCTTTTACAAGCTTCTCCAAGTTCCTATTTCTGTGCTTCAGGGAAGCTGGTACCCGTGGTTCACTGTAAGCTACTCATGACTATCATCTACTAATTTTCAGTAGATTGCTGTAGTTTTTCTGATGTACAATCTTACTTTGACTTGTATGGGTTTTTTCTTTTTCTATCCAATTTAGCTACCTTGCACTCCCACCATGGTCCCAAAATTCTTTGTGGTCTCTCTTATACATATGCTTACCCAGCTAACACCAGAGCCTCTCAACAGTTTTAGGATATTAAAGGGCCTCTGTTGTTGCAAATGACAGTATGACTAAATAATATTAGTTCTAAAACCAATTAAATGATTGCTGCAAATAACGCGAGCGAACTGACAAAGATGCTGTGGAATTCAGCACTGCTCTGAGAGATAAAAGGGACTGGGAAAGAATAGTTTGATATCAAAGAGAGACAAAAAGGTTTTAATCTCCTGACATGAGTGACCCTAATTTGTAACACTGGATCAAAGAAAGTATAATGAATTATACTTATAAAACCAGCATTTCTCAACTAGTGTCTTTATCACCGCGTATGCCACACTAAAGTTAAATGTTTTTTTTCAGTTTCCTTTTGTATAAATGGCAACACATACAACCAACATTTCTAAACCCAGGCATTCTTTGTTCATGCTCTAGTAACTGCTTATCAGCATACAGGCTGCACCTCAGAAAACACTGCTTTAAAAGAGACTTCTACAATGGGGATGTGAACCGTACTTTGCATCAGAAACTTCAAAATGAACACCTCAATCCAGATTTTTGATACCAAAGTAGCATTTATCCATACCTTATGCAAACTATCTCCTAGTTTCCTCAAAATATCACACATGTAAAACCTTTTGACCAAACACTCTTACTTCCAATTCCACATAACCTCAGTATGACAGAGAGTGAGAGGCAGAATTATCGTGCCTTGCCTCTTTTTTTTTTTGGTTTACATTATGTATATTCCAAAATCAGTGTAATCATAATCAAATAAATATTCTAAGGGAAAAATATTCATTGTTATTGGCCAGGTAGTGTCAACGCAGAGCTCCCCATTCCAGATAAAATCAGGTGTCCACCTCCCCCAGCACTCTGTTGTTGCTAATGTCAGAATTACTTGATTCAGGAATTCATCTGAGCTTAGGCCATCTTGGCAAGCGTGCATGAAGAAACTCCTAAGAGTAATCTTTCTCCATGTGAAGCCTTTCCATACATACCATTTTTTCCATCATTTATCTTCCTGTGGGGCACATTTAATATCTAGAATTTTTAGAGGACAGGACACAACAGGTACATGCCTTGGGGGCAAAATCACACATTTAGGACAAAATATCATCTATTGTACGAAGCTGAGCTTCACACAGCAGTAACACAATGTAACATTTTCAGCCAAACATCTGACACTGAGCACTAAACTTCACTGTAAATACAAAGATGGCAAAACTCCCTCCGTTATGAAACTGTACGTAAGAATAGCGAATGTCTCAGGACGATCTTTGGGCCACTGCAGGAACCACTGGTGATTCTGCTAAACTGGGGATGAAACCCTGAGTTCCAGAGGAAGGTGGAATCTCCAAACAAGGGTTTTTATTGATATTACAATCCCCATCCCCAAACCCTTATGGACATCTCAAGCACTGATAAGTGCTTTGTGTCTCAAAGGGCTGAGCCACTCAGACCTTTGACCAGCCTGGTATGGGACTCATTATCTCATGTTCTGTTCTATTCTGTCTTGTCCTAGTCTATCCTATCCTTTCCTATCCTATCCTAAAGTTGTTTCAGATCTGCCAAACACCTGAAAATATTTATTTTTAGACAGCAGATTTACCATCCCCTTTATCAGGCAGAGCTATGTGCATGAGATGATCATGGAAGAGAAGACCCTTAGACTGCAGGGGAAAACTGGGCTGCTTTTGGGTGGGCCGTGGCTAGTCCTTTCTCTTAACAGCCACCATGACGATCCAACTGCTTCATCTTGACATAACAGGTAAGGTAGCATCACCCTACTTTTCTAAACAGGACAGCATCTGCAGAAAGAACTTCTGCTGAAGGGCTGCAGGTCCTGCTAGCAGTTGTCAGGCGCTTGTGTCACCAGGCTTCTTCTAAACCCAGCACCACAGGCAGCATGGTTAGGGGGCCGGACCCTCTGTTCCATGTATTTGCCGTAAGAATGGCTCAGAAATCCCACCAGAAAAAAAGTTCTCTGAAAGAGACAGTACCTAAAAAGAAGACCTGTAAGCCACACAGGCCCATCTCGCACTAAACCCTGCTGCATATTGAATAAGTTTTAGAAATGAGCCATGCCTGTACCAGTGTTGTGCATTCCAGCGCTCGTTTGGCTGCACTGTCTTGCACAAAATGCTGTGATTTAAACGGGCAAAGGAGCAAAAATATTGTTGTCCTTGAAGTTCACATACCTACTAATTACTCTGAGTTATTACATGCTGGGGGAAGCTCAAAATCATCACTGGCTCATGGTGTTCCAGAATGACTTCCTCCATGAAGGGCTGGTCTTCAGAAGCACTGCTGGTGACCAACGGGAAAAAATAATGCTCTGCTTTGGAAAAGCAGTCTTTTCTCAAGCTATTGTGTCCCACATTTCTGTTTCGAGAACTAGCCACCCAGTTCATGTAAGAACATCACCTTTCTCTTCAAATCACAAGGAAATACAGTCATGCAGTTCCCTTCTCTCCTTCTAGACCCAGCTCAGGTTTGTTATTCTCAATTTCCATATGCACATGGAAGAACTGGTAGCCATCGATCACCATGTCTTTCTACTCTTTCTTCACATGGTATGCAGAGCCTTTGCTTTTCAGAGCACATATGATATGGGGAATAATACGCAATACCCAATATGCTGCTAGTGCTCACTGCTCAGCTTTGTGGATGCCTGCAGAATGGTATTCTCTTCACAAAAAACAGCAAAGAGACTGAGGCTGACAATGTGAGGTTTTTTTGATAACTCAGCCACAGTGCTGGGGTCAGGACACGGGCTCATGGATGCAGCAGCAAAGAGGGATCGACGGGATTAACTGAGCTTCACTTACAGATTTCTCTACATCCAGCCCAGAAGAAATAGGTTTTGGTAGGCATCCATGCCCTTACAAGCCAACTTGGAAAGAAAATAGACAAAACCAATCCATCAAGCGGAGAAAGTATCAAGGGTATAACCTTCATGTAAACAAGAAGTCTAACATGTCCATTTTTTAAGTGACACAGAAATGTCACAACAGAGTATGTGAAACCCAGGACACAGCTTCTATCATAAGAGCTCAAGTTCTCTGCTATAATACGACATAATAATAAGCAAGGAGATAATAATAAGCAAGGAAATAATAAAATAAAAAAAAAAATAACCAGGGTGAATAAATCCAGGTGATGTTCAAGCAGGAGACTCTCTTACCAGGGATGATAATTTATCCTGCAAGAAGATACAAGAAGCCTATGTGCTTTTGCCACAGAAGCTTCAATAGTCAGTAAAGGCTTCAGATTCAACAAATTGATAGCTCACAGTTAAAACATATTTATCTTTTCTAAAAATAGTTCTGAATTCACATAAATTTTAAAAATTAAGTGAGCAGAACAAAATTGTTAGAGTAAAATATACTAACATTCAACACAAATGCAGCACTCAGCTGCCATTCAAATTTGATACAACTGCAGACTTGTACCAAATTCCAAGGGAAGGATGCTATGGGATCATGATGTACACTTCCTACAACTAGTTTTATTTCATGCAGCCAGTACAGTCTTTTAAAACAGATATGTTAAAGCTGAAGATAGTTAACAGACTGCAGACTACTTACAATACTATAAATCACATTTTTTTTTTTTTTTCTGGGTAATGGAGTTTTTTAATGAAGCAACAACTGCAAACAAAGACCTAAGGATTTTGTCTAAAGTTCATTTTATGCCTTATACTCTTTGCATATCAGTAAATTGCATAGTCGCAGCCTAGGAGTTACTTAATTTCCTGCTCAATGCTAATTTTCAAATCTTAAATTATTCTTAGCTGAACAGATTTTGCAGGAAGCCATCTCTTTGTGCACCCCTTCATTGGATGGTTTACAGCCCCACTCACTCTGTCCTTACATTCCTTCTTCTTCTTCTTCCAATATAAATTCCATATAAACGAATAATTCATAGTCAGAACTAGGTAAACTGGCACTTCTCTGCTAGGTTAACTGGTTCTCTTTTATTACTGTGTCACTCAATACACCACTCTGGGTCTTCTAGACTTTCCCAACCATCTTTTCTATTCAGGCATTTCAGTTTTATCTTTGTTTTTGTGTTCCTTCTTTGTAGTCACAGTAAAGTTTAGTTTTGTAATTTATTAACCATCACTACCGTCTTCTCTATGCCAGTGGCTGAAAATTTGTTCCTTCACTTTCCAAGGGAAAATGTCAAATACCTATTTGCACAAGTGTTCAACTCTATCACTTACATAAGCAAGAACTTGAAATCACCTAAAAATGCACTCCTTAATTTAATATATATTAATTACCCATTTATTGGTCAATTTAATAAGTATTCTACTGCTAAACTGTCTGTAAGGTCAGACAGCAATCCTCTGTAAGCTTATATTACACAATTATCGTAACTTCATAAAGACAAAAGGTTGATACCTTTATTATCTGTAGTATGTGCATATAAAAAATAGCCTTACACATATATTACA